TCAGAAGGATCCCCCTACCATAAAACCCCAAACGGGACAGTTTGCACCATAAACCCCACAGGACAGGACAAGAAATTGCAAAGAAGAGTCTTACCTTAGAATGCATAAAAACCCAACGCTTCCCCCACTCCTGCTCTTTGTCTCCCCGCCCCTGCTTGGTGCTCCATGGAGCCTCTCTGCAGCCTGTTCGAGTCTGTTGAGGTCTCTGCCTTTTCTCTCCTTTTGTCTTGCCCATTGATCGTTTCCTGACACTCTGTGTGCTCCTGCTTTGGCCCAGGTTGCTCCCTGTTGAGGGATCTTTGCTCAGTTGTCCCCCTGCTGGCCTCTATGGGGTTGGTGTACCCCATCGAGTGCTCTCCATGACTGGGTACTGACTGCCTGGCAGCACATTGCTTCTTTTGTTTGTTTTAGTTGGGATAGATATGAATATCTATCTATCTATCTATCTATCTATCTATCTATCTATCTATCTATCTATCTATCTATCTATCTATCTATCTATCTATCTATCTATCTGAGTGCCAGTGACTCACACTTGTAATCCTATCTACTCGGGAGGCTGAAGTTCCAAGCCGTCCTGGACAGGAAAATCTGTGATACTTATCTCCAAGTAGCCAGAACTGGAGACATAGCTCAAACAGTAAAATGCTAGACATGAGCAAAAGAGCCAAGTAAGAGTGAGAGGTTCTGAGTTCAAGCCTCCAGTGCCACCATTAAAACAAACGATTGTTCCCCCCTCTCCTATGCCCTCATCTCCATCTCCTTCTGCATCTCTTCCTCTTCCTCCTTCTCCTCTTTTTCTTCCTCCTATTCTTTCCTCATCTTCTTCGTCTACTTCTTGCCCAGGCTGGCCTTAAACTCATGATCTCCCTGCTTCAGCACCCTCACCCCCGAGTGCTGGGATTACGAGTATGTTTTACTACACTTTGCTTTTCCTTTCTTTCTTTTCTTTTTTTTGGCTGGTCATGGGGCTTGAACTCTGGGCCTGGGCGCTGTCCCTGAGCTCTTCAGCTCAAGGCTAGCTCTCTACCACCTGAGCCATAGAGCCACTTCTGGTTTTCTGGTGGTTAATTGGAAATAAGAGTCTCATAGACTTTCCTGTCCAGGCTGGCTTTTTTTTTTGTCAGTTGTGGGGCCTGAACTCTGGGCCTGGGTACTGTCCCTCAGCTCTTCAGCTCAAGGCTAGCTCCCTACCACTGAGTCACAGCGCCACTTCCAGCTTTTTCTTTTTTTTTTTGTCGGTCGTGGGGCTTGAACTCTGGGCCTGGGCACTGTCCTTCAGCTCTTCAGCTCAAGGCGAGTGCTCTACCACTTGAGCTACAGCGCCACTTCCGGTTTTCTGGTGGTTTATTGGAGATAGGAGTCTCACAGTCTTTCCTGCCCGGGCTGGCTTTGAACCGTGATCCTCAGATCTCAGCCTCCTGAGTAGTTAGGATTACAGGCGTGAGCCACCAGCGCCCGGCTTTCCAGCTTTTTCTGCTTATGTGGTGCTGAGGAATTGAACCCAGGGCCTCATGCATGCAAGGCAAGCGCTCTACCACTGAGCTACCTTCCCAGCCCCAGGCTGGCTTTTTTTTTTTTTTTTTTGTCGGTCATGGGGCTTGATCTCTGGGCTTGGGTGCTGTCCTTACGCTTTTCAGCTCAAGGCGAGCGCTCTACTGCTTGAGCCACAGTACCACTTCCAGTTTTCTAGTGCTTTATTGGAGATAAGAGTCTCTTGGGCTGGGTGCTGGTGGCTCACGCCTGTAATCCTAGCTACTCAGGAGGCTGAGATCTGAGGATCGCGGTTCAAAGCCAGCCCGGGCAGGAGAGACCGTGAGACTCCTATCTCCAATAAACCACCAGAAAACTGGAAGTGGCGCTGTAGCTCAAGTGGTAGAGCGCTCGCCTTGAGCTGAAGAGCTGAAGGACAGCGCCCAGGCCCAGAGTTTAAGCCCCACAACCGACAAAAAAAAAAAAAGAGTCTCATGGACTTTCCTGCCCCGGGCTGGTTTTGAACCGCGATCCTCAGATCTCAGCCTCCTGAGTAGCTGGGATTACAGGTGTGAGCCACCCCTGCCCTGTTTTTCTTTGTCTTTTTTAAAAACAAGGGTGGGGATTGAATTGAGGGCCCCAAGTCTTCTTATAATGACACTAGTTCCGCTCAGGAGGGCTGCACCCTCATGATCCAATCACCTTTCCTAGGCCCCACCACCCAACACCCATCATACTGGGGGGAAGATTTCATTACGTGAATTTTGGAGAATATCAGCTCAGTGTATAGGCATGTGTGGGGTGTATGGGACCAGGATGAATGAAGACAAAACCATCTGTGTACCTTGGGCAGTGTGTAGCTGGTATGGACTTGGAAGGTCTATACAAATCTCCATGCATCACCTGCATGGCTGAAGGAGGCTTGAGCCGAATCTTCAGGCTTGCGGGGGAGGGGGGGTTGGAGGGCTGGGGGGTTGGGGGGGAGGGGAGGCGGGAGCAGGCAATGGGGATGAGACAAGAAGGTAGGGATGTGCCATGAGAAGGCCAGTGGGATGCAAGGCCACCTTATGGTGGTGGTGATGGGGAATTGGTTGCAAATGACTGCCCAGCATGAGCTGGCTGAGGTCTGAGTTGCCTTGCTCAGAATAGCTCTTGGACCAAAGGCCAGAGCTCTTAGTCGTTGGTTCTGGCTGGCATCCTGAAGAAACATGGCCAGCGCTGCATGCTCTCACAGAGCCCTCAGCCCTGCTGGGACAGCGGATGGTGTTTTCTGGTTGGGACTCTAAGCCACCCTTAGCCAGACAGCTAGAACCATCCTGGAAGATGTCAGATCTCCTCCCTGAGACCTTTGCAGCCACCCAGCAGGAGCTGGGGCTGCTGATGATTCAGCTCCAGTATCAGGCGTATTTATTGGCTTCATGAACATCATGCTAACGTTTTACCTAGTGGCTCCTTGGCTCTCTAGCAATCCTCTCAAGACAGAGGCTGAGTCCCTCAGAGCTGCTCTCTGCTCTGTCTTAACGCCTCCTACCCCCTTCTCCCAGGCTCCCTTGCGTTCTGTCTTCTGGTTGGCTCAGGTCAATGGAAGCCACTGGCCAGTGAGAAGTGCAGCTGAGAAATTTATGTGGCTGCTGTGGTGTGATGCATCCCATCGTTTCTGGCCATTGTTACCTTGGTATCAGCCCCCAAGGTAATGGTACAATCCCTTGGGCATTGAGCATCCCCCAGTGAGTTTCCTTACTACATTCCTCTATCTTATGCCTTTGAAAACTCTTGGAGCCAGGGGACGGTGGCTCACGGCTGCAATTCTAACTACTCAGAAGGCTGAGATCTGAGGATCTTGGTTCAAAGCCAATTTCGGCAGGAAAGTCTGTGAAACTCTTATCTCCAATTAACCAGCAAAAAGCCAGAAGAGGAGCTGTGACTCAAATGGTAAGAGTGTTAGCCTTGAGGGAAAAAAACTAAGGAACAATTCCCAGGCCCTGAGTTCAAGCCCCAGTAATAGCACACACACACACACACACACACAAAGTGACTTGGTTTGAATGTGCCATCTATGTTCTACAGGGACCCTGACTGATGACAAACTTCTCAGTGCATTGATGATGGGGTCGAGGTCTGGAAAGCTGGCTCTAGGTACACAATAGAAAGCTGGGCTGAAGAAACGATTGAGCAATAATTTAATCTTGGGGTGCAAGGAACAGGGTCAGCCCAGCCCTTTAAACTTGGTTGGCTTCTCCACCCCTTAACGGCCATAGTGAGGGCAAAGGTAAGCGGCACACAGCCTGTGCTGTCTGCACAGTGCCCTCGCCTCTCCTTGCTTGCATTGGATCTCTGTTCACCAGCTCCTGACTTTAAAGGCCAGGCTGGGATGCATGCTGTCTTGTAGAGTAGTAGGCTGTGTGTCCTGCTGTGAGCGCAGGGAGGAGAGTGTGGCTAGCATGGATTCTGTGGACACAGGGTGAAGGTGTGGCTGTGACAGCAGTAATGGGTGATGAAGGAAGTGGGCCTGTGGTTTGTCTGTTGTGAGAGAGTCACTGTGATTTAGTGTGTACTCAGGGTGGAGTATAATCCCTGAAAGCTTGAATGCAGTGTTGCAGAAGCATGGCGCCCTCTTGTGGCCATAACTAGAATCCCAAGTGTGCATCTGCAGGTCCAGCCACGGAGCTGCCACTTCACAGCTGCACACCCCAGCTCCAGCCTGAGTCACTGCACCCTCCTCTACCCCCCTCCACCCCACCTTAGCTTCTAGCTTCATCCTTCAGCCTCAGGGCTCTTTTCCTTTCCTTGTCCTCAGGGAGCTGAGTGTGGGGAAATGGAGGACCAAGCCAGCCTGTATAAAACACACCTTTATTGCTTACAGAGAAACTGTGTTGGGGGTACACTCCCACAGGCACATGCTCCTGAGTTCCTGGGACCAGGGGCTACCGAGCTGAGCACACTGGTGGGAGGAGAACAGGAGTATATCTTGGAGGAAGGGGGCGGGAGCTGCCACTGACAGAAGTGACAGTCCAAGAGACTTAAGTGTCTTGTTGCTGCCTTTCCCCAGACTGGCTTTCAGGCCTCTAGCAGAAGGAGCGTCCCATCAGAACACCACACATCTGGGTGATGTCTCTGGGTATCTGCTGCACCCAGCTCAGGGCAAACACCTCTTTCTCCTTGAACACCCTCAGTCTGCTGCTGTCTCTCTCTGGACCATATCTCTTCTCTGTTCTGTCCCAGAAGAGCACGGCCTTATCATCTCCAAGGGTGGACGTCGGGTTATCTTGCAAGTCCTGCTCCTCGTAAGCACTAAGCCCACCCTTGGGTGCATACCTTGCTTGTTCAAATGTTTCCTCCCGAAGGCTGCTCCTAGGTTTGCAGTGTTACCTCTACCCAGGGAGATAGCACAGTGGCCCCACATGGAGATAGCTTAGTGGATTCAAAGTGTGTGCGGGGGGGGGGGGGGGGGGGGGGGCGGGGGGGTTCTAAGCATCCATCTGCCACCTCCACCTGCGCCCCGCCCCCCCAGCTTTGTTCATTCCCTCCCACCTTTCTTCCAGCCTTGCCTGTGGTTAGATGGGGGTCAGATTGGGTGCTGAAGCCTGAAGTTTGTCATCTCCGGGCTCAAGCTCCCCAGTCCCCACCAGCTTGTGGTGGCAGCGGCAGGTGGAGGCCCGGCTGGTGGAGGATGGAAGGCTGCGGTTCCTGGGCTTGCCCTGGCGCAGGCCTCGCAGGATGCGGTGGAAGATGAGGTAGCAGATCTCGCAGACGGTGAGCACAATGCAGACGGCAGAGGCACCCACCATGAAGTAAGTGAAGACTTTCTTCTCAGTAGGCCGGGCGATGTAGCAGTCCACAGTGTTGGGGCAGGGGGCCACGTTGGCACACTGCACCAGACGGGGCATGGTGAAGCCATGCCAGAGCATGTGCAGCACGTAGAGGAAGAGGAACTCGATGATGAGCTTGAACACCAGGCTGAGCAGGTAAGTCCACCACAGGCCCCCGTGCTTCTTGCCCGTGTTACTGTACAGCTTGGTGCACTGGTCACCGTGTTTCTGCCGGTGCTTCCGTTCGCGCTCCTCTCGGTAGGCCACATGCAGGATGACGAGCAGCGACGGGCAAGTGACGAAGATGAGCTGCAGAGCCCACAGGCGAATGTTGGAGATGGGGAAGAAGTTGTCATAGCACACATTGGTGCAGCCCGGCTGCTTGGTGTTGCAGTCAAAGTCCTTCTGCTCGTCCCCCCACACGCGTTCGGCTGCCACAACGTACACCAGCACCCGGAACACGAACACCACGGATAGCCAGATGCGGCCGAATGCCGTCGAGTACTTGTTCACGCCGCTCAGTAGTGTCTGCAGTGTCTTCCAGTCCATGGCGCCTGCCGGGGGCGCCGGGGGCTGCGCCCACCTGAGGGAATAGGGAAAACCATCTTGTTAGGGGGTCCCCGATGTTTGCCTATCATTCATTCAGTTCCGGCATTTGAACTCAGGACCTTGTGTTCTTGTTTAACTTTTTTGCTCAAGGCTGGCGTGCTACCACTTGAGCCACACCTCCATTTTGCTGGTTAATTGGAGAGTCTCATGGACTTTCCTGCCCCAGCTGGCTTCAAACTATAATCCTCAAATCTCAGCTTCCTGAGTAGTTTGGGATTGTAGGCGTGAGCAACCTCTGCCCCTTTTCATGAGCCCATTCTGCAGAGAGGAGTCTAGAAGGCTGGGGAGGGAAATGTCCTGCCAAGATGCGGTCAGCCAGCAGGTAATGAAGATTTCAAGGAACAAATGAGCTAGAAGGTGCTCAGGGCTTTTGGTTATCCTTTGGGAGGGGGAGGTGGGTACAAAATCCAGGGACTGTGTAGATATAATTTCCCCTTCCTGGGCTGGGCCTGGAGTGTCCAGGTCACCCAGTAGCCTGCCAGGCTGTGTGGTGGCCAAGGGGTGCCTGGGTCAGGGCCTCTCATCACTCCCCTTGGGATGACTCAGAGGGTGTGGACGGGTGGGTCTGCTGTGAGCACGTAGTATCGAGGCTGGTGCTCTGACAAGACCCGTGTAGAGCTCACACCTCTCCGAGAGCCTGTGTGGGCCTGTGTGCACCAAGGGATGGCTTCTGGCTGGGCCAGTGCCTGGGAACATGCGGGAGCTTGCTGTCACTTTTGCCTCAATTACCGCATTGGCTGCTCCCCACCCTCCCAGCTGCTTGGCCTGGCCCTGCAGTGCACATTCCAACACAATCGGTCCCAAGTCCAGGGCACACTTAAAAGTCCCAGTAGTGGGACTGGGAAGGTGGCTCAGTGGTAGAGCGCTTGCCTTGCATGCATGAGGCCCTGGGTTCAATTCCTCAGCACCACATAAGCAACACCCTCCCAGCTGCTTGGCCTGGCCCTGCAGTGTGCATTCCAACACAATTGGTCCCAAGTCGAGGGCGCACTTAAAAGTTCTTTAAAAGTCCCGGTAGTGGGACTGGGAAGGTGGCTCAAGTGGTAGAGCGCTAGCCTTGAGCTGAAGAGCTGAGGGACAGCGCCCAGGCCCAGAGTTCAGGCCCCATGACCAACAACAACAACAAAAAAACCAATAGCAATAAAAGTCCCGGTAGCGTCTCACAGGGCTTCAAAGGGTCCCCCCCTTCTCTCGGAGGCCCCCGGACGGCTCTCCCTCCAGAACCTCACGTGGGTGGCTGCCCTCTTCCCTGCGGGGCCTCTGCTCTGGTCCACTCTGGTTTTCGTCATAGAAGTGCGAAATCACCAATTGAAACCACACACACACAAAAATCTTTTTCTTTTCTTCTCTCTCTCTCCCTGTCTCTCTCATAGCAGGTTCTTATTTATCATCTTCCCCAGTTAGAAGACGGGCTCCAGCTTTGGCTTGCCTCTTCCTGTTTTAATACCGAGTGCTTGACCTCCAAGGAACCCAATAAATGCTGAGTACTGAGGGGCGGGCAGGCCTGCGGCGGACACCTGGACAGGACAGCGCAGCACCCCGAGCCTCCTGGGTGCTTGTCGTTTGGGAATCACAGTCCCAGACAGGATGGGGTGCCTGGAGAGACACCCCTCCCCGCCATTCCCAGAGCCCGTTCTCTGTGCCTACTCCAGTCCTGAGCTGGACTTTTGGGGAGAGCCACGGGAAGGCGCCGAGCGTGGCCCGGCACGCGCACCGCGCTCGGCTCCGCGTGGCGCAGGCTGGCCGCTGCCGGCCAAGAATCGGCGCGCGCGCGCGGGCGGGCTCGGCCGGGAAAGACCTCTGACCTTCCTGGGAAGGATTAAGACTCGGGAGGCCTTCCTCCCTCCCCCCTCCCCGCGCGCTCTTCCGAGGACGAGGGAAGCCCCCCTCCCCCCGGGGCCCCCTCCCCCCGAGCGCCCCCTCCCCCCGAGCGCCCCCTCCCCGGCAGGCGGGGGCCGCGCGCCCCTTCCACCTTCCAGGCGCGGCGCCCACACCCGCCCCAAGACACACCTCAAGGAGACGACTCAACTGCCAAGAATTTCCTTCCCAGGCCGGGGCTGGGGACTGGTGGAGCCGGTTCCCGTGGGGGGCCCCCAGCTGCCCCCCGACACTCGCTCCCAGCACCGCCGGGGCCTCTCTGTCCGGTCCAGCTTTGGCACTTCACGTGCCCCCAAAGCTAGATCCCCCCCACACCCACGGTGTGGATCCCCTCATTATCAACCCCCCTCCCCCAGTTTCCCTCCATTCCAGCGGAGGGACCCCCCGAGGGTCAGCGCCACCCTGCCCGCCGCCTGGAGACCCCCCTCCGCCGCCCTGCCGCACCCCGTGCGCAGCCCGGCCGCCCCGGGCGGGCGGGCGGGCGGGCGGCCGCGGCTCCACGCCGGGGGCGCCGGGCATCGGCGTGTGCTCCGCAGCCCGCACTTACCGTCCGCGGCTCGGCCACCTGCCCCGGTATCCCCGCGATCCGCAGCACAGGTGAGCGCGGCGGGAGCCGGGCTGGCGGCTGGGAGCGCAGCCCGGGGCGGCGTGGAGGGGGAGGAGGAGGAGGAGGAGGAAGAGAAGGGGGCGGGGCCGGCGGGGCGGGGCCCCGAGCTGCGGCCCGCAGGAGGTCCGGGTTCGAATCCCGCCGTCGCCGGAGCGGCTCGCTCGCCCGTGCGGGATGGGAAGGGGACCCGGGTGGCCGTGGCTGGGCCGTGGCTCGGGCTGCGGTGAGAGGACAGGCGGGCGGGACCGCGTAAACCGTCCCGTGCTGTGCCGGGAGGAGGGCAGTTCAGAGCCGGCTCAGACTCACCACCTAGGTAACCTGGCCCTCGGGCCTCGTGGGGTCACTCATGGGTGTCTCCCTGCCTGGATGGCGACCCGGAGAGCTGGGATTAGAACCGGGGGAGAGGGGAGGGGCAGACCCTGTGGCCACAGGGCCCTAAAGGGGCCCAGAATGTCGCGGGGGAGGGGGGGGCGGGAAGGGTGCTCTAGGGATGTCCGATAGTGAGCCACAGCTGGGAACTGAACCTGGACAGCCCCTGGGCCCCAGATCTTTGGGGGAAAACCTGCGACTTCGCCCCTGGGGGAATCCCTGGTCTTAGTCATCGTCTCCCCAAGGCCTCGGTGTCTGGACAGAGATGACCCTGCAGCGCCATGGTGTCTACACAGCCCAGGGCCATCGAACCGGACTCTGTGACCCTGACCCGTCAGGCCTGTGGTCCCAGAATAACTAAGAGTACCTCTTGACTTTTATTTTGTGCTGGTACTGGGGCTTGAGCTCAGAACTTTGCGCTCTTGCTTGGCTTATTTGCTCAAGGTTGGTGCTCTACCACCTGAGTCACAGCTCCACTTCTGGCTTTAGCTGGTTTCAAACTGCAATCCTCAGGTCTCAGCCTTTGGAGTAGCTGGGATTACAGATGAGAAGAGCTCTTGGCACCTGGCTGGGTAACCTCCCCCTTCCCCCTTCTTTTGGAGTGTCAGTTGTGGGGCTTGAACTCAGGGCCTAAGTGCTGTCCCTGAGCATTTTCAATCAAGGTTAGTGTTCTTCCACTTTGAGCCACAGTGCCACTCTTGGTTTTCTGGTGGTTAATGGGAGATGAATCTGACAACCTCTCAGGCCAGGGCTGGCTTTGAACTCTGATCCTCAGATCTCAGCCTCTTGAGTGGTTAGGATACAGGGTTGAGTCACTGGCACCCAGCAGGGAATTTCTTTTTAATGTTAAATATTGACTAGGAAGTATGGGAGGATCACTGAATTGGCACCCTGCAGACATCTTTTTTTTTTTTTTCCTGTCCGTCAAGGGGCTTGAACTCTGGGCCTGAGCACTGTCCCTCAGTTCTTCAGCTCAAGGCTAGCGCTCTACCACTTGAGCTACAGTGCCACTTCTGGCTTTCTGGTGGTTTATTGGAGATAAGAGTTTCACAGATTTTCCTGCCTGCCTGGCTTTGAACTGTTATCCTCGGATCTCAGCCTCCTGAGTAGCCAGGATTACAAGTGTGAGCCACCGGGGCCCAGCTTCCCTACAGACATCTTTGTTCCTGGGCTGGGCCCTGGGGGACAAGGATGCTCCTCCCCTTACAGCCTCTACAGGAGGCCCTGTGGTCCTTCCCACTTTTATCTTGGAGAAGATGGGCTGTGCTAGGGCCATGTCCCGTCCCGATAGCCAGGAGTAGAACCTGTTGGGAAAGCTCTGCAGTGTTGATTTTGGATAGTGCACAGCCATAGGGCACAGGCCACCTTTGACCTGTGGTTACAGTCCTTGACAATCTGTGCTGAGATTAGATGCTGCTAGGGTTCTGTGCTGGAGTCTGCCACCTGCTGCTTTGCACAAAGAAATATGCCCGCCCCTATTTCCTCCCAGGTACTCTTCTTCAACTCAATCTACCCTGCTACTTCAAATAGTTTGTCAGATCAGCAAGTGTCCACCCCCCCCCCACACCCATGTGACCCCCAGTCATCTGTCTGTCCCCAACCTCCCAGACCTTCAGCTGCACCTGCCCAGCTGGCCAGGTCTTCCTTCTCAGCGCACTGTCTTCCTCTGGCTTCACACCCCTCACGGATGCCTGGTCCCTGGGGAGCCTCACACCCTAGTTTTCCACTGCAGGCATCCAAGGCCCAGTTTCTCTCCTCTTAGGAGTGAGCTCATTTAGTCCCGGGGCTCTGCCTCTGAGCTCTTCTCTCAGAACATCTCCACAGTTCTGGGGCCAGTTCTGAACACCACAGTGTGTGTGTGTGTGTGTGTGTGTGTGTGTGTGTGTGTGTGTGTGTGTGACTGAGGCCACACACCTGGCCACACAGCTATCAGGCTGAGTTTCCTTCCTGAAGCATCTGTGCCTGTTGTACTCTACAGAGGTCTCCGTGCAGCCTGTGGACCTGTACCTGCCCCTGTGCACTGAGCTTTCTCATTAACAAAGCATTAGACAGTTTCTGACTAATATAAAGCTTGCTAGTATGGACATCGTATAGATAGAGCTTGATAGTTTATATGTGTGTGTGTGTGTATACACACATACAATAACATATTTAATCAGTCCCATATTGATTAAAATTAAGGCTGTTTCCAGATTCCTTCTTTTCTTCCCTCCCTCCTTCCATCCTTCCCTTCTTCCTTTCCTTCCTTCCTTCCTTCCTTCCTTCCTTCCATCCTTCCTTCCTTCCTTCCTTCCCTCCCTCGCTTCCTCCCTCCTTTTTTCTCTCCCTTATTCTCTCCCTTCTTTCCTCCATCTCTCCTCTTCCTTGCTTCCCTCCTTCTCTCCTTCGACTTTCTTATTCCAATCATCACTGCAATGAATAACCCTAAAGAAGTCTTGGTGGGGCTGGGAAGGTGGCTCAGTGGTAGAGTGCTTGCCTTGCATGCCAGAGGCCCTGGGTTTGATTCCTCAGCACCACATAAGCAATAAGAAAAAAAAAGCTGGAAGTGGCGCTGTGGCTCAAGTGGTAGAGCACTAGCCTTGAGAGCTGAGGGACAGCGCCCAGGCCCAGAGTTCAGGCCCCACAACTGGACCCAAAAAAAAAAAAAAAGAAGAAGCCCAGTTTACAACTAGACAAATGGGGGGCTGGGAAGGTGGCTCAGTGGTAGAGCGCTTGCCTTGCATGTATGAGGCCCTGAGTTCGATTCCTCAGCACCACATAAGCAAAAAAAGAAAAAAGCCAGAAGTGGTGCTGTGGCTCAAGTAGTAGAGCTTTGAGCTGAAGAGCTGAAGGACAGCACTCAGGCCCAGAGTTCAGGCCCCACGACCGGACCCCCCAAAAAAACAACAAAAACATACAACTAGACAAATGGGAGGCTCCTGGAAGTGGAATTTTTGGGTTACTTTTTAAAATTTTTGTTAGCCATGGGGTTAGAACTCAGAGCTCAGACGCTGTCCCTGGAGCTCTTTTGCTCAAGGCTAACACTCTACCACTTTGACCACAGCTCCATTTCTGGATTTCTGTGGTTATTGAAGATCAGAATCTCACACACTTTCCTGCCTGGGCTGGCTTTGAATTGCGATACTGAATTGCCTCCTGAGTAGCTAGGATTATAAGTGTGAGCTACCAGTGCCTGCTGAACTTTGGGTTAAAGTGCAATGCTTTTTGAAAATTTTGATAAATATTTTCAAATCCCCTTTATGAAACAGTTTTTAGTACCACAAGACACAATAGTCCTTGTTTCTTAATGTACTGGCCATTTTTAATGTTAGCAAACTTGGTTTTTGCAAGAGATACAGAATTATATTTTTATTTTGCAGTTCTCTTATGAGTGAGAGCCATTTTTTTTCTTCTGGGAACAGAAAACATTTTTGTTCTTTTCAACTTACCTTCACCTACTTTTTTTTCCTGAGGATGGTTGCTTTTTTTGTTATTTATTCCTTAGTCATGTTTTACATGTTAAGGAACTAGCCCTCTGTCTGTGATAAAAATCAAAAGTATGTTCCCCTCCTGTCTAACACTTTGTATTTTGAAGTTACATTAGAATTTTTTCCCATGCAGAATTAAACATGCTTCATACAGCCAAATGTACTCATTTTATTTTTATGGCATCTGGGTTTGGTTATAATTAGAAAGGCCCTGGCCACTGAGATTTGAAATAAAAATTTCTCCCATGGTTTCTTTTAGTTAAAGTAGTGGCTTAATGATATAATCAGATCCTGTCACTCCCTATTAAAGCTTTGCAGTGACTTATTACCTCTCCGCTAATGCCCACTCTCCCGGGATTGGCCAGGGGCCCGCTGCTGCTTACCACCTGCTCACAGCTGTCTATCACAGCCCCTTCTTCCTATTTCCCACACAGGCTTCCTGCCTTAGCAGTGTCTGTTCCCTCCGCTTTCCCAGCTCTTTACCTGGCAGGCTCCTCCCCCGTAGGAAGAGTTCACTTTCTAAGGGGCCCCAGTCACCCCTTCTAAAGCTTCCTCACCTGCTCCTTGCTGGCTTCCCGCAGCCTTCCCTGAGGTCATGTCAGGCAGGGAGGCAGCTCTGTTCCTGCTGCACCTCCCAGGCCGGGGCCCCACTGTTTGTACAGGATGGACCTGGCACGCGGAAGGCGTGCGAGGCCTGTGGCTGTGTGTGGTGGGGTTGTGTGGGTCCTGTGGGTGGGTACATTTTGATGCATGTGTTTGTGCATGTGTCTGATTGTGGAGATGAGGTATGATCAGGAGATGGTGTGTGTGTGTGTATCACTGTGGGAGATGGTGGGGTGGGGTATGTGCCAGTGTAGGAGGTGATGTGTGTATGTCAGTGTGGGGGTGGTGTGTGTGTTGGTGGGAGGTGATAGTGTTGGTGGGAGGTGGTGGTAGTGTGTGTGTTGGTGGGAGGTGGTTGTGTGTGTGTGTGTGTGTGTGTGTGTTGGTGGGAGGTGATAGTGGTGGTGGGAGGTGGTGGTGGTTTGTGTGTGTGTATTGGTGGGAGGTGATAGTGGTGGTAGGAGGTGATAGTGGTGGTGGGAGGTGGTGGTGTGTGTATGTGTGTGTTGGTGGGAGGTGATGGTGGTGGAGGTGGTGATGGGAGGTGGTGGTGGTGGTTGTGTGTGTGTGTTGGTGGGAGGTG